CAACAAAACAATATCGAAATAAATCTCACTGAAATATCAAAATACTTCTTGCAGTTTTCCAAGAATATCATATCTGCGAACAATTTCACGCATCACCAACAATAAATCGAGGAGAATAAAAAGCAGTAGAAAATAAAAAGTTAACTTGGATGCAAAGATAAGAATCTTCTATCTTTTTTTCCATTTAAGTGCTTTCGACGGAACATTAATCTTCTAAGGCTTGTTATACACGCGCCGTAAATATTAATACAGCGTCCCGAATTCATAGCGGACAATACCTAAGTGTCGTTGCTCAAGTTTGATTAATGAACACTCAATAACCGACACAAAGCTTCCTCCCAGAATAATATACACAAGACCCAATATCATCGGGAGGCTTTTTAGAAATTATTTTTAATGGCTACGAAGAAAAGGGCTGTCGCGGGTCTTCTACGATAATCGTCGAACCTTTTTATGAGAAAATGGCGAGTAACTATTAAATTTAGGAAGGTCAGAAACAATGAGGATTTTCAAGGGATTGATTAGGTACAATACGGCCTACTGTTGCGCCCTGGGAGCGGTGAAGTCAAGTGGCTTATTTCCACGAACCGCCAAACAAAATGGATTCCTATTTATTTTAACACAAAACATTCTTCATATCCGATACTGAACAGCCTACGTAGTGCCGATTATCGTCTGTAGGAGAGAACATAAAAATATGTACAAAGGTTATTTTGCGTTACTTTATCCTCACAATACGTTTGGTGCGGTGGCTGGGTAACCGGCTGCCGCGCAACGTGTCGCGGATTCGAAATTCGGATTTGTATGTGAACTTGGTATGTTTGAAAACGCACCCACGACACAGGAGAAAATCCTAGTATGGGGCAATATACACATGGCACCCAGACCCGGAACAACTATATGTGGATCACACAAAGAGTTATTCAGTACAGGAATCAAACTCGCGACGCGTTGCGCGGCAGTCAGTTGCCCAGCTACCGCACCAACCATGCAGTCAATTAATTCGTTACTTACAAAAACGATACTAAGCACGCATTTTTCGCCAATAAACAGTATATTCGAAGACTCAACTCCTTTCAAGTTACATTTATAATCAACATAAAATAATATTATTAAAAGAATTTCCTCGAATGGTACACATAAACGTCTTTACGTTATTAAGATCGACCTTGACATTTCCATCACCATAGCAGTATGTAGCTTCTAATATTGGTTATTTATATTCATATTATAAAAATATTTTATTAAAGTGCCTGTTTCTAAAAATGACAAGAATATAACATCACACCTTTTAATTATCGAAATAGTAAGCAGAAGCGCTGCATAATCGCTTACCACCAGACGAGATAGTGTTCAAACGTCGGCCCTTAAAATATAAAAAAACAATGCAATGCTCACTTTTCACCCTATTGTCTATGCTGAACAAAATTCCAAGAAAGAACTAAAGTAAGTACGTATACATGTGATTTCATCCACAACAGTCCGAAATGTAGTTAAATCAAATAGTACTTAGATACTATTATCTTCGTGACCTAGTGAAATTAAGGTCTACCTGAAACCGAAGCTAAGTTAATACACAAAACAAACACTCGTACAGACGTAAATATAGTAGGTAGGTATGTTGGCACATGTATACTTAATGGTCCCAACAATTCGCTCAGGTACGTTGGGCTCGCCATCACGGCCAGGAAGCGACGACTTGAAACGGTATACCCTTTCGCCAATTCCAAGATTTAACTGCAGACCTTCCCTAATTAAGTGACCTTTTAATGTGTGTGGGCAAATTGAGGGTTTAAAATCCACTCGGAAATTCCAACTTAACCTTTACAAGTATCCAGAAATGAAGGAAAAATCTGGGTCAAACTTAACTTGGTCCCTACCCAAGGGAACGCAAGTAATATGTACCGATAGTGTTATAAATCAACTCCCAGTTACCTCTTATAGAATAAATATGTACAAAGTCGATAGAAATTGTAATTTCATTAGTGAGTTCTCTCTTGTAAACTTAATTGAAAGGTTCGACTGATGCTTTAATTAAAAACAAAACTTTGTCAGTAGTAAAACAACGGGATGTTACGTAATTTCCATTTTAACGGCGCTGCTATTAAATGAAGAATGCTAATTTATTTGAGTGTACTCGAGCGCAGTTAGCGCTGCTCAAAAAATGTACTTTAAAACTATACTTAGCTCATCACTTTGTACCGACAAAGAATATTAATTTCTACTTTCATTATAACGCCAGAATACAAGAAATACTTTTATACCTACTTCTACAATTCGTAATATAACTTGCACTACTTTTTAATTTAAATGTCATAATATATTTCTAGAGGTAACGTAACAGAAAACAATATTACTTTATAAAATATTACAATAAGTAAGTAGATGCGACCTACTCGTTGCAAATTGAAAATTTCCCCGCGACTCATCGCGATCACACCTCGCAGTCTGGGGGAGGAGGGTGGAAGCCGACCGCCGCAGTAACGCGACACTTTTCTTTTCCATTCTCATCACAAACGAGGGCCGTCCACAAGACACTCCTTCATACTTCCAAACCCCAGCAGATAACTTTGAATTATGACACTTTGTTGTTGTTTGACAACCCTACATAAATATAAGCGAAAACTTGAATGCTAAAACTCAATTCAATTGTCCCTTCCTGCTGTTGCTTCACAAAATGTAAGTAATTCACACTCCTCGCCTCCCATTTCGTTCCGGCCAACTTAATTAGCAAAAGTTTTAAGTGATATCACCAAATACAGTTGACGTTAAGAATTTTTGTTTTCGACTAATATTGGATGCGATATTTTAGATTTGTCAAGAATAAACTCTCCTTTTCCATACAATCTTAACTACAAATAAGTAAATTCAGTTTAGTTTAGTTACAAGTGAGCGAACTGATCGTTAAAGTACAGATCAAATAAGAGAATTGTTTCAACTTGAGCTCACGGTTGCTCCTGAGACAAATCCCCAAAGCCTCGGATCGAATGTTACAACTTGCTTCGAGAAACTTCGATTGACGCTGCACCTGCAACTTGAGATTAGTTGTATATTTATTTTCTACAGTCACTTGGGAATTTAAATCAAACCAGTTTATATTGGAAATACTTTACAACACATAATATATACCTCTACATAAAGTTGAACTTTTAGATTAATATTTGCAGGATACTCTCGAGTATCTTGTCCGACCTCATTTCAACTTTTTTTGTTCCATATTGAAATCAAGCTTATCAAGATTTCTTGTGCGAACTGCTAAGTAGTGGAATTCTTTGCCAGCGTCTGTATTTCGTGAAGGGCATATAATACCTGGGTGTCTTCAAGGCCCGAGTGCTTAAGGGACAACGTGATCCATCGTAGACGGACCACATCATCGCTTACCACAAGGCGAGATAGCGGTCAAACGTCGGCCCATCAAAAATAAAAAAGCCAACAACATTTGCTATGTTTCGACCTATTTCTTCTATCCCATCTCTCAACTACATCGCAATCAATAACTAATCAAATGAGTAGGAAAACCTTTATCGACATTACAAACACCAAACGTATAAATAACAGCCAAAATCGACGAACGATGATCAGATAAGGTGATCACATAAACTCAGACTAATGTTGTTAAACAGAAAAAGCATGAAAGCTAGATTAATGCGGTGGAAATGAGAACCTTGAGAAGTATGTGTGGAGTAAAATTGAGTGAAAATTGTAGATTGAAAGATGGTATAGTGACAAAGATTGAAAAGGAAATGTTGCGCTGGTTTGGCCATATAGAAAGGATGGATGAAAGTAGAGTAACGAAAGAAGTATACAGAGCGGATAGGAATGGGGTCGTCGATAGAGGATGCCCTAGACAGACATATACTGACCAGATTGGCGATATATTAAAGAAAGGCCAAATTAAAAGTACCCATAACCGACGAACATGCATAAAAAGTCTGATGACTGTTGATGAAGCGAAAGAAGTATGTAAGGATTGTAGCAATTGGCGTTCTATATTGTCTGCTAACCCCCATGGAAGACAGGCATGAAGTTATGTATGAATGTTGTTGTTATGAAAAATCGTTGAGGTAACCGTTTGGACAATCATACAACAAGTAAGAATGTTTGTCTTTATTTTATAAAGCTGGTAAAACATTCAGAATAAAACTTGGAAGATAAAAATAGAGACACACTCATTCATTGTATACATTTCAGCTTTTAGACCACAAAATAAATAATGCAGATACATCTTCTGAAAATTTCACTCAAAAACTAGACTATTTAAAAAAAATACAGCATGGAAATCAACAAGCACTTTTTGCGCTGTCAAAGGAGATTGCAAAACAAAAGCTGGTAGTTCGTTATCTCGCTTCTTTAGCAGACCACCGCGGTACTTGTGTTGTGTTGTATTCAGTACAGGTTGTATGGGCACAACCTGTACTGTGCTCTTGGTGGGCCAAGAGCTCGGTAAAAAACATTTTAAGATATTAGCGATTTAAACATGTCAAAATGTAATAAAGAAATGTTACTGACAAACAAGGTGTATAATACTATGAACAGAAGTAAGAATGAAAGGAAAAAAATCAAGAAGTTTTTAGGAAACTACTTTTAATGAAATTATTTGATTTATATTATACTTCCTATCTAATTTATAAACAAGAATGTAACGATAAATTGATGAACCGATTGAATATCATATTAACTGTAGCCTCCGTGTAAATTTTCTCGCAACTAACAATATCGGTAGCTTCACAGCGCGCCGTGAGATTGTAAGCTCTTCGGTATAAAAATGAATTTTATGAAAATCAAATTTCATTGGCGAGAAAGCATCGCGAACTTAACGTTATTTAGGGGCCTGGAATAACCGGGAGGTGTGACGACGACGTGAAAAAAGTTTGAAGCTAATCAACATCGAGTTCCAAACCAAGTAAATCTGGCCTAAAAGCCTAACGATGTAACCTAATTACATGAATTTTTGAAAGAAATAATGTCATGTGTTCTGACATTTTCAAGTCACTAAAAATAATACTGATTTTACAATAACATTTTCACTTATATATAAATACTTCTTCAAAACCCGAGTGAATAGCAAAGAGTATAGGGCAAGTAGACTGCATCGTCGCTTACCACCAGGAAATAGTGGTAATACAATTTAATAGGATCTATAATAAATGGAATCCGAAACAAGTAGACACTCAATTGAATCCCAAACTAAACAAACTGACTATGTGAATGTGATTGAGAATGTACGTCCGAGCTATGAGGAGCACATGTCTGAGAGAAACTCTAGCCGGAAAGAATCATTCGAAGCTGCTGGAGGCTCTGAAGTTAGGGATTGGATTGAAGAACCCTCAAAGATCAACTATATAATAAGACCACACGGAGTTGTTCCATCAGGATTTACACCGTCAGGTATGTAACATTTTACACTACTATTATTAGGTACTCTTATATCTTGTATAAGAGTCATTACAGCTAGATCAAATGTGTACAGCCTAAGTAAACGCTAGTGTTTATGTTTTAAAACTGCAAGGCATATCTGGTCTTAGCCGGTAAAACATAGCAATATAACAATGATATTGAAAGTTCCTATTACTTGAAAATGAATGATGAATGTTGATTGACTTTCATTATTATTGTTTCAGTTCATAGCATTTTGAGACATATAAACAAGTCCTTAGGAACTGAATCCGAAACAGACACTGAAACTGAGGCACTCAAGAAGGATGAAGAGTTACTCAGGGAAGAGGTATACAAACATTTTCTGAATTAAATTAAACTCATAAAAACACGTTTTTATTACATACCTACTATCTTACAAGCAAAATTCAACGTCAAATGTACGCCATAAAATTTTGTTGCCATAATTAAATAACAATTTATTTTTACAAGATGTTGTACAAGTTATATTAAATTCTTTGTAACTTTAGGGCCTACAAACTCTAAGTTATTCGTTAATTTTCGATGCAAATATTTATGAATCTACTGAAGGTACACCTACTTGTGTGTCATTAACATTTTCGTTGGAAAAGTGCTTGTTTACTGGGTAGTTATAAAAAGGCTTGTATGTATGTATAAAGATATGGTATGAGGTAAAAAGTGCTTGTGAACAAGGCTGTCGGGACCGTACAATTTAATGAATGATGGTTCCCTCGAGTAGGGTCACATTTCCTCACCTCTTTAGTAGAATATTACCCACAGGTAAAGACATTTCGACTGACCTCTGTTTTATTTTTATGTTCGCCAAAATCTCGCAGTGATTTTTCGAGGGCAGCCTTTTTTATGTAAAAATTCGCATTTATTTTTAACTTTTTGCGTGCCGCTCATTCGCCTTATTGCGATAAAAAATATCGCATGAATTCATTTTGGTGTCTCATATCTATAAACCAAATTTTATTTAAGTGCGTTCAATTGCTAGGTAGAAAAAAACCAATTGCGTTTGTTGTTGTTTTAAGTTTCATACAAATATTTCAGTTTCCAAAACACGTGACCAATCTAATGAACGAAGAGAACTACTGGGGCTGTTTCTACATATATCCTGACCTGTATGCGGATGTATTCTCACCTGTTATTAAGATTCGTGAGATAGAAGATGTACCAGAGTTGACTGGAGGCGTGCTGACCAGAGACATGGTCACAGCTTGTCTGACGTACCTACACCGCACTCCTATCTTGGGAGACCTAGTCTTTATCAAATTAGATCTTTCATCGAAGGTACAACACATAAAAATTCTTATTTTTAAAATTTACTGCTTCATTGGTCTACTGGTGGAAATATTACTGAGCATAAATCATTTTTTATGGGATAAGCCGGTAAACGAGTATCACGATCACTTGATGGTAAGCAATCGACGCTGTCCATAGACACATGAAACACCAGAAACGAAGTGCGTTACCGACCTTTTAGGGATTAGTGGGAATTGTTGGGGGTTGGGGGGAGATTGGGGACCTCACTTACACGACGAAACACAATTCAAGTGTTATTTCTCGCCATCTTTTGTGAAGCCGTGCAAACTACGTTCAAACAAACCAATACGAAAATACATTTGCTTTGCCAATCAAATGTCTTGCCAGCTTTCAAACATTTGCTACATAGAGTAAACATCAAAGTACATACATATGTACATACATACGTAGTCAAGAAGGACATTTACTGATTGATACAGCAACATTGCATCTTACGAAGTTGAGGAACAGACGCTAGCAGGTCAACTTTCTGCCAAATTAGATTTTCAACTTTAGGTTTTTGTTATAAGGTCAAAAATCCAATAAAAAATCAGAAATGGGTGTAGCTTGACCTGCTGGTACTTGAATACGCCCCTAGGCTAGACAACGTCTTTATTTAAATAGTCCCAAAGATCGACCCGCATCCTAGAATAACATTCTAACGTGAACCTTGATCCACAATCAGGACTGACAGCCGGCTTACTTATCTCATCTCTTGTCTTGTAAACAGATTTATAGAATACGGGTCTAAGGTATCCTGAATCTAATTTTACTATTAAGGTATTTTGTAACGAAGACTGTTGTTTTAGTTGGAGTGGCGCCACTGTGGAGTTTAGTCTTATCAGTTCAAACAGTGTTGGAAGCAAAATAATGCGTGTACTCAGTAGAATATTTTTGAAAATGTACCTTTTAGGTACTTTACATTAAGATCATTATCAAAAACAATATTATTATTTAAGGATGCAGAATGAATTGGTTTTGTGAAACTAATTAGAATCTCAAAATCAGAACTTGTCTATTTAAACTGATTCTTTAAATTAATTATTAAAGACTCTCTTCTATTGTTTTTTAACAATATTTTAGTTCTGTAATAGTGTTATATTTCCTTGTTGCAGCATCTAATGAATATTGATGTTCTAGAGCACTATAAATTTTTAGTATATTTGAATTTATCATCAAACTTGCTGACAGAATTGACAGTATTGTCTTATCTCCCGTACCTGCAGTTCTTGTCAGTGGATTTCAATAGACTCGCAACGGTTTTGGAATATACCACACGTAAGTAGTTTACATTTAAGGGTGCATCCGCATCTGGCGAATGCGCAGCTCGCGAGCCTATCGTGAGCTGCGCGCGTGCAGTTACGGCAGTGGTTTGGTGCGCGTTTTAAGCGCAACTCATGCAAGGCTCGCGAGCAGCTCGCAATCTGTGGGCACTCAACTCTCGCACTTACAGTCTCGTTTAATTAGTGCCCACGCGCGCCTCACGCGCGCTGATCGCATACGGAGCTTAAGTCGCTCGCGAACTGCGCACGAACGGCGCGCGTGAGGCGCACGAACAAAAATGCGGACAGCGAGCTGCGCATTCGCCAGCTGTGGACGCACCGTAATTTTATAAGTATCGCTTAAATGGACAACGATAATCCTATTTAGATAACCTTTTGGATATATGGTATGTGGTATGGTGGTTCTTGCATGTACGTTACTACGCGCATATAAAATTCCATACTTACGATACGGTTGTTACGGTTTAAGAACAAAAACAATACCCTTCCTTCAGTTGGGTAAAAATAAAATCATCAGGTGTTCTGAGTCTGTTACAAAGTGTTCGGTCGACCTCTCTACCATTTTTATTGGCACAACCCACCTGTAGAAATAACCGAACCAAAACATAGACGGAGAAACTCGAAACTATAAAGTCAAGGAAACTACATACTACGCAATGAAACAATATAGTTAGCTAAGTACACAAATATACAGTATGATCGATGTTTACACTTACCCTGTTGCTATACAGGTTGTTACACATTCCGCACAAACTTGAACTGTTTGCGGAAATGTAGACGCAAACTCTTGGCACAAGTTACATTTCCCTTTTCAATTTTCAGCTCAATGGTTCCTAACCAAAGTGCACTACAAATACAATTCGATAAAACGAATTAGAGATTTGTCCGCATTCTGGTCGATAACTGTACTTGACTTGTCGCATAATAATATCAAGGCTATAACGGGACTGGAGAGCTTAAAGTACGTTTCACATCTAATTTGTTTAATGAAAGAATACTATAGGTTTTTATTTAAACTTCTAAACTAAAATTAATATTATGTTACTTATGTTGTCCGACCAAGCGACCGATTGCTTGTAGTCTTGTAGTTTATTTTTGACACAAATTGACTGAGTAAAATTTTGCTCTCAACAGCTCTCACTCGTGAAAAAGGTAAATTTTCAGTTTGGCTATTTTTTTGTTTCATAGCAAAAACGTCGTATTAACTGGTGAAATAGGATTGCATTTTGTTTTTAAAATAGGTATCGAATTCGAAACTACTCTATCTTCCCTTCCTTTCAGATACCTTCGGCGATTGGACTTATCATTCAACCACATTCAACGTCTCGAGAACTTGAACCACCTGCGTCTGCTCTGGCTGGATGTATCTTACAATAATATATCTAGTTGCGAGTTCGGACCCAACAGTGGAATCTGGACCTTATTGCATCTAGAATATCTGAACCTGAATGAAAACAATTTGACGTCAATGAAAATGTTTTCGTATTGTACTAGGTTAGTAACATTTTTAACACTATAAAGGCGCATGATATTAACAAGGAGGTCTTTCTTATACTTCAGCCATATTTTTCGCATAGAAAGTTTTATATCACAGAGGAAAATAGACTCTATAACAAAGTGTTCAACAGTGATATTAAACAATCACTAGATCTTCAAGATAACGTTACTTTAACGTAACATAAAAATAATTTAATATGAAAAGTAGACAAACCACTCAATCCAATATATTATGACATATCAATATACGATACACATAAATAATACAAGGTCATTTTACACTGGTACTTCATTCCGGTAATGATGTCACCCGTTCGAACCACAATACCCAATCTGTGCTGATTCGACCGGTGCGCTAACGAATGAAACAAAGGATGTTACATTACGTTGCAATTCTGCAGGGCGCGGGCAGCAACACCAATAAATTGCGCTATTTGCGTCATTAATTGCTAGCCCTAAAGAGCTGGATATATCGCACCCACTATTACATGGGACTCATAACATAAATACCAACATATACGAAAACTGGGCAGTTCTGGAAGTTCACATACATACGGGTCGAATTGAAAAGGGGGTGTCACACTGTACAGTGGCATTAAGTGCCTTAATATGCACCTATGCCTACTCTATCTAATCGTGGAAAACATGGTGTAGTGATAATATGAGAAGAGATGATCCTAAGGTAGAGAATACTATGGTATTCTCTTAGGCACAAAATGAAAAATAAGCCGTAGACCTCCATTATTTTTCATTTTGTGCACATTAGAAAATGTGACCAGATTGTGTTGAATCATGTGTAAAATCATTATTTATTTTATTCAAAGCATACTGTAAGTATTTACAGCAAATATTTCAAAAAGAATAAAAGAATTACACAGAAAATATTGCCTCACTGGATATAAAATAGTACGAATGAGCAAAATAAATGAATTTACTGTTTGATCCGTTTCGCTTGTTCTGTTTCAACGCTACTGTATGTGGTTTCCATTCCCTTAATGTTTTATTTATTTCACGTACACAGCGCCTCGATGTTTCATAATATACTTACTGGGTCCTCAACAGTAGAAAATAGGGAATGAGAAACACCGGTCCATTAAAATGGAAAAGAAAGATGGCGTCGCGTCATCGCTGCGACTTATATATGTCAAAATAATATTTTATCGTAATTTGATCGTAACGATTATGCCCAGACCATATCTATAGGCAACTTATCTTCCGCACCTGATATTATAATGACCTACTTAAATATTGAACAGGAATTTATTCAGAACCCCTAAAAATCCGCTGACTTTGTTT